GTTAACCACGTAAAAATCTCTGACGCCTGGTTCTAGTGATAAAGGGGTGCCAGTACACGTGGTAAGGAGTGACACTACCTGTTGGTGGAGACGTAGCATGGAACCGAAAAAAGACGTTTGTGTTCAACAATTTCAATGTTTTGCCAATGTTAACTTATGAGCGCTCTTTTGAAGGAATTTTGTGCTTTCATTGACACTAAAACATCGTTATAGACGTAATTCGTGCAAAAGTATTTGCTTAATTCATCTTAAAAGGTGGTTTAGAGTACAGGTATTTTTATCTACTTGTTATGGTTTTTTATTTCCCACCTTTGAGCATCTGTCAATTTATAACTGATAAAGAAGACAAAGCAAAGGTTTTATATGATTTCGTCATACACCAACGAGTGGGTGTACATTATAGTCCATAAGATCTGGTCGATAAACTCGCTTAGAAATGAACATGCTATACTATTTTTGCGAGTGTAAGAATTTTGGAGTGTTATAAATCCCAAATGTCCCAAAGTAATTACTTTTAGGTCCTCTAACTTCAGATCCCTTGCCAATGTGCCATGATTTGAACATTTAAACTGGAACTTTATTTTTATCAATGTAGGGAGTTGGCCAGCCGATAGGAGCAGTCAAATTGATACCTAATCTCTTGTGACCTTGACCCTTATCATCACAGGAAATGTAGAGGAGCACGTTAATACTGCTAAATAACCAAGACAGTGCCTACAAGAACGTCAATGTCAAATTAGTCTTATTACCGGCAATATAGTTTTTCCCTTTGGTTAAAAGGTATAAATTGTTCCGAAACGGCAAAGAGCTTTGCTTTTTACTGGCGGCTTATAAAAGATTTGGCACATTTAGTGTGGTAAGCGATCTTCAATATTTCTTAATTTATACTTCATTTAGCAAAAAAGTTACACTCGCGAAAAAGGAACGGTTTGTTACGATATCGAGGGACACCCTATACACTATTGGGTAATTCTTCTGGCTATGTACAGTCTGTTGCGTTGGCACAGGTACTAATGACAGGAAACATACACCTTCTAATTCCTGAGGGAGACGCCGATTGACGACTGACACGCGCAACTGTAGCGGTGTCATGCAGCGTTTCATTCTCTGTGAGAAAATTAGACTCATCGCTGCCAGCATTCTGTAGGTTTTGGACTACTTGGTAACGACATTATACATTTATGATTTCAAGATTATAAGGCATCCTGACGCTTTTTTCTAAGAGCACTTTAAACACTTAGAACTGATGAATAAATCGATGATACAAATTACATACGACAGCAAGTGTCACACTGCGTGTAGATGGCACTTGACGCCGTCGCCGCAAAATCTTTTCTTGGTTTTGCCGATAAGTTGCTTCCTGGAGTAGGATTTAAACGAGTGCCTTGAACCAATAGCTCCATCAAAAATAGCACTGCTTCAGCACAGTATTCTCATTATGTTTCTCAAAGTGTCATTGGAAGTGGGAAGTTTGTTCTTATTATCCCTATTTTTTCTGTATAAATTTTTCTGTTTTTGTTTGTTTTTTATTTACTGGCCTATCTATCTGCTCCTATTAAAGATACTGTAAGCGCTTACAAAAAACTCCTTATTTACTACCTTACATACATTCCTTTGGATAACAGATAACTCTTAAGTGCTCAGTGACTAAATCTATTTACTTAAACACACGTCATCTTACAGGTGACGTCATAATTGTAATTTTAAGGCAAAAAAGGAAAAATCGGTTTCTCAAATTTCTCCGTTTCTCCTTCGTTATTGTTGTAACAAAAAATTCCTTTGTTTAATGAAAATATGTACTTAGGGGCTCAAAACTCCATGATAAAATCATTTAAACTAAAATGACGGCGCAGGTTTGAAGGCCGTACACTTGTAGTCCACTATGCCAATTATCGTGATAAAATCTTGTTCAGGAGTGAAATTACGCCACATATATCGATTGCTATCTCACATCAAAATATAAAGGTGTTAAATTGACAATAAAGGATTTGGGTTGCCTATGCTTGTACATAGATACAAGAAATATAAACACTGATATAATATATTTTCGAGGGAACTTTTATTGTTTTAAATCACCACAAAGGTAGATGCATTAGTGAATGTTAAAATGCAGAAGAAACCTCATTTTTGGTATCTGGATAATAATTAATTTTTACAGTACCTTAAAATACCACAGTACTTTTATTCAAATCTTACTTTGCGCACAAAAAATTTACAAGTCATAGAAGTTTCACCAAGTGCCGACGCCATTTTCAGTGAATTCGTACTCCGTGCGGTTGAAATATGCATTGCATGCGCCATTAAAAAGCGGATTTTCCAGTTACTTCGGTTTTTGCATCCAGCTTTTTCCAATCCGCAATTGCTATCTTCAATACAGATGTTTCTAAGTAGATACCCTTGTTACGCGATGGTCAGGTGATTGATTATAATTACTTTATACTTAGAAAAACGGAAAAATTTGCGAGACTTGAAATCTTCAGGGATTTTCTCCAGCGTGACTGCCTTAATACATAAATATTTGTAGGTTTTCAAAGGATTTATCAATCGTCCTAGCATAGATAGATTTATAAAGACGAACACTACTACTGTAAGTTGAAGCAACTGTTAGCAGTGATCTATAAACTCCAATACATGAATACAGTTGTATATTCTCTGCACGAAAATGTCATACCCAACATGCATGCGTATGCTAAAATACTGTCAAAGAAAATAAGTGTTCTGGTACTCTAATAACAATTATTATTAATATTATTATTATTATTGCTGTTGTTGTTGTTCTTCTTCTTCTTCTTATTGTTATTATTATAAGTCTAAAATTGTTTCTGCGGCGTATGAAACTTAATTATGTCATCAATACGGGATCAAGGTATACAATCTCTGGTGACTTTGCACCGCTCTCCGTGCATGTACACTTATATATGCAGTTATGGTAAAGCAGTGTTTAATTACATTTAATTATAGTATACTACAATTAATAAATAACATGATATTTACACAGCTAAACGTATTCTCTTCATGTACAACGTGAGACTCTTATTTTGGAACATTATTTCTGCTCAGATTTCAATATCAGTATACCTGTGACAAATGAAGATATGGAGCATAATTAGATGAATGGCTTCCCTACATAAGTCGATTTCCATCATCCGTTGAAGAGACACAAAGCTGATTTCAAAGCCGGGATGAACAACGTGAGACTCTTATTTTGGAACATTATTTCTGCTCAGATTTCAATATCAGTACTTAACGTACACAATAACGGTGACAATCATATTTTGATACATCTTATTGTTAGTGTCGTAACTGGCAAGTACGTACTTCTTGCAAGTAAGTGTCGTCACTACTGTTCACCAACACGAAGAATCATATAACGACTTCTTTCCGCCCACTTGTTTTGTGGAAATAACTTTCATAATGAAATTGTGAAATGCTCTTTTTATGGGGATGTGTTAAAAAAAACAACGAAATTAGATGTCTTATTTTAGGTGGTTATATATATATATATATATAACCACCTAATATATATATATATATATATATATATATATCACGTCTGGCACCCTGTGACGGTGATGAGAGAAGGATGTGATATTCGAAATGTTAATGACGCACGGAATACCAATTAAATCAAAGGTGAACATTTTCCCGTGCAAAATGTGTGTTGGTCTGCAGAATTTATTAAAGTTTACAGGGGTAAGACGGGGATTCTGGGACTCTAATTGCCGACCTAAATGTGAGTCTAAAATCCTGCAAAGTTAAGGTGAGACAGACAACAATATTTGTACCATTAATAAAAAAAAACACAGAGGAAGAAAGTAGGAACGTTATCGAACTGCTGTTGCTTAACAAAAAGTGGGCACCCGCCTTCTCACCATTGTTCCGGCAATTTATAAAGCGTCCTTGCGTGATGGCTCAATATCCTTGTGAAATGAATCGAGACCTTGATTGACTGGCATCACGCTAAACGGATTTCAACTGAAGATATTTATCAGTCTTCATCCTGTGGAGTGTTCAAACAATAAGCACATGCATGCCCATGTGCTTAGTTTCCGAGCATCTTTACTGATTTTAGGATGTCTGTTTCACTTGCCTTAGTGCAATTTCAGAGTCAGCAAATTTGGGACTTGATTCAAAGCGACATGTCCCAAGCGCCCCCACAGCAACGAGATGCCACTTAAAAACATATTGGTCCCCTTCTTTCGCAACACATTAACACAGCATGTATTACATCGGGCTTTGAATCGCTTGGGGAACGACATGTTGACCCACTCTCAGAAATATGGAACAAATTATAGAAATAGGCTGCAACATTTAAAGTGTTTTAACACGCATGTGTGAACATATTTATCACTGTCATGATCAAATATTGTTAAAAGCCCCAACTTTAAAGGGGGAGGGGGGTGACAGTGGGCCACACTTCGGTCTTGCAAGCCGTCTCAAGTTAGGCGTAACAGGTGCTTATAATTTTACCAGGTATCCTTCTGTATTCTAGGTAATGTTGAGCAGACATTGATTCCTCTATCCCACCTGCGCAAGGACATTAAACCGACAGCTTTAATGTATATGAAATGATTACTGAATCTGCCGGTCTTCTTTAAATAATAACGCTGTATGGTACTGACGTTAGTAACGGATGTTTAAATAATATACCTGTGATAAATGAAGGTATGGAGCATAATTAGACGAATGGCTTCCCTACATAAGTCGATTTCCATCATCCGTTGAAGAGACACAAAGCTGATTTCAAAGCCGGGATGACATGTAAGAATGACAAGTCACGAAGACGGATCGATGACAGTGTAATGCCTGAAGACGAATGCATGTACCAGCTATCTAAATCGCTTAGCGAAAATCGCTTAGTGAAACTATGAATTTCATCTCAATAATTTATATGCAAGTATCATCCTGCGGCATTACGGGTCCATACCGGTCAAGGTTTGCAGTATCAAATCACTAAATCACTGTCCCGATCACGACAATATTTAAAGCCCCAAAGGCATCGCGACGGCGTTTTAATCCGTCACGCTTAACCGAGCAACATTTATTTTCTAGGCCTATTGTTATCTTTCAATATTACGCCTATTGGCCCTTGTCGTAAATGTACAATTAGAGATAAAAATCAATCATTGCGTAACTAAATATCATAAGCACATTAAGGATACCGCCATGCTTTAATGCTTTGAGACTGAACTTCGTCAGAGTCATTCATTTTGTCAAACCTGTTGGGGAAGGGATCCTAAATTACATTAGGCCGAGATTCTCTGATTGTTACGTTACCAGTCTGTCGTATTACAAGCAACCATGGTTTCCCTCTAGGATATTGCTATGTTATTCACTGCCATTTATGTTGTTTGTCAGGACCTCGCGATCTCGGCCATGGCTTCACGCCCTTCCATGACGCCAGCAGAAGAGAGAGAAAAGTGGACTTCTATAAATAGCTGACTGCTTCATGGTCTGTGTTATTGTGTGAGCTGGGCGAACCATCGGAATTAATACTTCTACATCATGCACGCTGGCGTTGATTCGTGTATTTGATGTCATTGACGGAATTGCTGTTGCAGAAGATTGGAAACAACCGGTTGTCCCTGCGGCAGTCTGCGACCTGTAGAGAACGGTCTTACTTCACTGGGTTCACTTATTAAGCCGGCAGTTGAAAACTCATATGGTCATTTTCATTGGAATTGTCGCACAGCTGGTATGTTAGATGTAGATCAAGGTAATATTCAGACTGGTCATGTTTCCCTCACTCGTGATTTAACGCTTTGTTAAAAGGACAGATACTCGACAAGATCGCCAGTATTATTCCCACTGCTACTCGGGGTTACAAATACACTTTAAGAGGTCAGAAATCGGAGAACTTCAACTGTTTACTGCAATAAACAGCCCAGTAAAAAAGAAAACGAGATCCATCGGGACAGCATACGGTAAAGTAATTTGGTCTTGAGGAAGAAAATGAATGAACCGCGTAGAAAAAACAACGTCGACGGCTTAATTAAAAACAGGCCTATGATTTGAGAAAGCGTTCCTGGTGGGAGTGGTGTTAGACTAAATGACCTGGGAAAACGAACCAGTATGTTGGAATATAATAACTGTTCGGACAGGTAATCTTCATATAGGCGCCCGCACTATCGTCTCTGTAACCACGGACGCACGTCTACTGTGACGTAACAAATATATAGTCACTAACGCTGGAACTGAAATGCACATACTCGAGGTCTACCCGGGGTGCTATCACGTCCAACAAAAGTGAACAGGAGTATTTTCGTGGGTTGATGCACGAAACACATGTTTGAAAGTCTGAATCAGGAAGGGAAGCAATTAATGCACCATACCACGCAAGACTGTTATATTTATCTTCAGTGTGTACCGCCGCTGACGGTGTAGAGTAAGGTGGAAGAGAAATCGAATTAAGATAAGTAAACGGTACATTTTTTTAGATTTCACAACGCTTTGATCGCTGATTTATTCTTGTTACAGCTTTATTAATTATATGAGAGGAGAAACATGAGAAGATTCAGACCTGTACAGTCTCCGCGCCATTAGAGATAATTCACCTTAAAATGACTGAGAGCTCATCTTGCACTGTTGCTGTGAAGTTTCAGTCAGCGACACGCGTGGAGGGAAATAATGAATGACAGCTGATTGGTCAGTTTCTGCACTATCTAATGAAACCTTCCCACCAATCAAATTTGGCTGAATATGGCTCTACTGGATTTAAACTCCAACTCGTCTGTAAACATCAGTATTGGAATGAATGTTACGCTAGAATTCCCGGACAGGAACTCAGTAGACGACAGCGAGGCCCTGGCCGTGGCTGCTGTCCTATTCCCGGTGCTAATGGGGATAGTGTTGACGGTGGGGATTCTCCTGAACGCGCTCGTGGTGTGCGTTACGTTGTCCACAAACGCTATTATGACGTGTGCCAGTTCTTTATTCCTGAACTTGGCCGTCAGTGATTTGGTGTTTCTCGTCTTCTGCCTGCCGATTCAGTGCGCTTATTTCGCCTCTCAGCTGAATCTTCATCTGGGCAGGATGACGTGCAAGTTGCTGTACTTTATTCAGTACACCACGCTGGGGGCGAGCATTTACACCATGACTGTGATATCAGTGTTTAGACTCTTTGCGGTGGTGTTGCCACTGAAGTCATTCGGCAGACTAACGTGCCGCCATGCCGTCGTGTCCAGCCTGGTTGTGTGGATCTTTGTCTCGCTGGTAAACATTCCAATTCTTATATACTACGATGAGCCCGACCAGAAACCCGGGATCCACATCTGCACCTTGCACATGTCCACGATGCTACCGTTCTACCTGAACGTTTTCATCATGACGGGAATGGATTTCTTTCTCCCGCTGGTTGTGACTGGGTTTGCGTCTCTTTATCTCCTCTGGGAGCTCTGTAAATCGCCGATATTGCAGCCGCGGAGGTACTCCATCAACTCCACCAAGGCCTGCGACACGTGCATACACACCCGGAACAAACAACTGGTGGTTCTTATTGGAGCCGTGGATTTATCTTTTCTAATATGCTGGGGGCCGGCGCAGATTCTTTTCATTATGATTGCCGCGGGTTACCAAATCCCGCGAATCCTCGACCAGGCTATTCTGGCAGTAATTGTCTATTCTCTGGCCTTCGGACACTCGTGCGTGAACCCGATTTTGTACAATTTTGCTTCTCGCGGGTTTCGCAGAGCAACAAGAAAGTTTTTGGTGCGTTGGATTCGCAAACTGAAGTGTGTGAAGAGAACGGACAATGCCAGGGAGAGTGGCACGGGACACCACGGGATTTTCAAAGGAAATCGGCCCAATGACAGATCAAAGTCACAAAGCAAATGCCAGCACCATCACATCGCCTACGTGTACGAAACGGCAGTTTAAGATTTTTTTGGAAATATTATTTCATTGGAAAGTTTGACTTGTTTCGACCAGGAATACACGCTGTACATTAATATGTACTAGTTAATTGGCAATACCGTATGGTTTTAAGATACAATCC